AACCCCTTGCTATTTATGTAATCAGAGTGAACATCAAATAAATGCATATACTTGTAACAGGGTGATTTTCCTGGCCTGGTAATATGCTTATTTTTCCAGAGATACAATATGAGTGGTGCAGATACAGTATGTCATATGTGGAAAGGGCCTCTGTCAGCGACCTGTCACAAAGACAGAGCTTCTGTGGGATGTAAGTGCTTATTAGCTTCTCTTATTAGGCCAAATGTATTTATTGTTTACGTCAGAAAGATAGATATCTTTATTGTCACTCTTAGGAAAACAAAGAAGTTTTGTTTGGCACTATCTCCAACCCAGCATAACATACAATATACATGTAAACAGAATAAACAGGGCATATTAAAAAGACTAAAATACTTAAATACTAATTAATTCAACGTCAGAACCCTAGATTTGCTTAAATGTGGCTCATTTTGAAATTGCAAAGGTTACTCAAACAAAACATTGAGAGGAAGAACATTCTGGAATCTATGTCAGCGCACGGACTTTCCTGCTGAGCAGCCTCCAGACACTAAAACGAATCTGCTTCAGCTTAATGCCATAAATGAGGGGGTTCAGCAGGGGAGGGATGATCAGATACTCTATGGAGAAGAAGTTATGGAGACCCTGCAGGCTGCTGCTGGATCCATAACGTGCATATAAGACATCAAACACAACAGAAAGACTGAAGCTGCTCAGAGTGATCAGATGGGGCAGACAGGTCTCCATGAACTTGCTCTGTTCTGCTTTCGATCGCACACATGTCCTGATGATGTGGAAGTAGGAGATTACAATCAGCAGTGCTTGGATGAAATGAGAGATGACTAATACATATCCATATAGATTATTCACACTGGTGTCTACACAGGAGAGCTTCACTACATCCCAGTTTGTGCAATAAAGCTTATTTATCTTGGACCCACACAAAGGCAACCTGACCATTAGAAGAACTACAATTAAAATCTCAACAAAAGACAACAGCCAGGGCACAAGCAACAATTTCCCCACATTCCCAGGGGTCATAATAGGGTGATACTGCAGTGGGTTACAGATTGCAACATACCTGTCATAAGCCATTACTGTTAGATTGGCGAGCTCACATAGAATAAAAGAGTAGACAACGAAAATTTGAGTTACACATGCATTGTATGAGATAATATGTGAATCTGATAAGAGGTCCAGCAGAATCTTGGGGTAGAAACCTGTAGCACCATAAATCCCATTGACACACAGATTACACAGGAAGATGTACATGGGCTCATGCAGAACCCTGTCCAGCATGACAGTCACAACCAGAGTCATATTCACAAAAATTGTGAACAGGTAGATGAGAAATGAACAGGAAAAATAAATCAGTTTGTTTGTTCTTGTGTCGTTCAATCCATTGAGGGAAAAAACAATTTCACAAGAAGAATTTTCCATTGTTGATGATCAGAATAAGACAGGTCTTACTTTTTAAAATATGATTCTTTTGTCATGAAGCATAAATGAAACAAATCCTCAGGATCAGGTCAGACACACTTAATTGGAGTTCGTACCTTTAACTAGTCGTGCATCCAATGACAACTGTTGATCTACTATATATATAAAAAAAGAAAAAAAAATATCCTGAAGTGAAAACATTAGATGCTTGAATATAATGTGATTACTTAGAAAGACAATCTATGAGCATCCTGTCCAACAGGGCTTGATTGTGCCTAATGATATACATTCTTCATTTTCATCCAAAGTAGGATTCTAACCTCTGTGCTGGCCTTTTTATGCTCCCAGACTGTGCTGTTGGCCATCGAGATCTGCTGTGTCATCTCTGTCCCTACAGACATGAGGTCCTCTAGCGTCCAATTTGTCAGAAGATGAAGTCATACTTTGGTAAGATTAATCTTCATGTGCAGTTCACTGGGAATTTAAAAGGAATAATTAGGATTTTATGTATTTTGTGGGGGTGGCACGGTGGTGCAGTGCTTTGCACTGTCGCCTCACAGCAAGAAGGTCCTGGGTTCAAACTCTGGGTCACCCAGGGTGTCTTTCTGTGTGGCATTTGCATGTTCTCCCCATGCATGCATGGGTTTCCTCCTACAGTCCAAAGACATGCAGATTAGGTCAACTGGCTACTCTAAATTGCCCATAGGTGTGAGTGTGTGTGGCTGTTTGTTTTGTATTTATGTATTTTGAGTGATGACAGTTTGTAATCACATGGCTATATGGCTGATGTGGTAGATGGGCAGAGGGACGTATCTTCAGGAAGGAGCCTGCAGAGGTCATGAACCTGGCTTTTCAGGTTCTGGAGGCCCAAATCCTGCCCAGAGATTCAACCTTTATACAGCTTAGATATAAAAGTCTGTCTTACTCCTCTTCTTATGTATTCAGGATGTTGGGTTACATCTCTATGTGTGTGGAGGTGATGCTACGATTATATAATTCCTTGGTAAGACCCCACCTAGAATATTGTGTGTA